CCCAGGTGACTGGTGTAGGCAGGGTGGCCTGCTTGAGCTCCCACCAACGACCTGCTTCCCCTACCAGCATGTAGGAAGCAAGGGCAGCTCTCTGCTCGGGAACCACTCCCAAGGTCTTGAAAGCTCTCTCAGTCTCCGCCAACCAGTACTGGGCATCTTCAAAAGAGGATCCCCCTGCAAAAGTGGAAGGGTTCAGTCTCCTGTACCTCTCTATGTAGCCCGGGTCGATCAAGGAAGGAGCTGGGTCCCGTGGAAGAGGGACTGGGCCTAGCTGGGGATAGACTAAGGGGCCCTGTGGTGGCACCTGCTGATATGGTGGGGGCACCGGATTGTATTGTGGCGATGCCAGGCAGTATGGTGGCTGGGGCACTGGTTCATACTGCGGCGGTGGTGCCGAGTGGTACTGTGGTGGAGCAGGCTCGTGCCGGGGTGGCTCGGGATCTGCTTGCTGTAGTGGTGGCTCAACCCGTGGTAGTGAGGGAGGTTCGGGTAACTCTCTTCTCTCCTCTCGACTTTGCTAGGCGGCCATGATCCTTTCCAGCATCTCAAATATTCTGTCCACATCTTTCCGAAGCGAATCATCCCGGGTTGCTCGGTTTAGTGGGGGTCTTCCTCTCCTCATTTCTTTGCACCTGCATTTCACACGGAAGAGTTGAGTAACGATTTATCAGTGAGTATTTCTCTAAGCATTATTGTGTAAGGGATGAGTCCGAGGAACGTGGCTCTGATACCAATTGTAACGGCCCCGGAAATTTAAAATGAAGATGCATGTATTAAAAATTCTAAGTGCGGAAGCGAAATAAAAATTTTGATTAATATCCCTTACACAATAGCCATAAACGTATTCAACGTATAAAAAAATAAGCTAATTAAAAGAAATACTCGAAATAAAAACTATAAATAGAACTATAAAATCTTTAGGCGTCTAACTCGTCATCTTCCTGCGGAACGGGCTCAGGAACCACGTCTTCCTGATCTGAAATGGTTAAGTAAGGAATGAGCTACACTAGTCCAGTAAAGACATCACACTATCTCACTGCCACAGAAGTAAAGGTTGGTAGAAAACAAAAACAACAAATGGAGCATAATTTACAATAAACTCATTTATTAATAATAAAAATCTTTCCTGTCCACTTACCTCGGTGAGATTCGTGAAAATAACATATAGAAATAATAACATTATAACCATCATAAAATCATATACACTTTGTAACATAACACATGTTATACTTTTGCACTTCAATAATCAGATAATAAATTTCCTCTTTTACCAGTCTACTAGTATCCATTGTGATCCATAGGGGGGTCCCCGCTACACGTGAACCATTAACATTAATAACCTGATTCCAGGGTCGTCCCCATACCCCATCTGATATGGGCGCCAAAACCATGAACCTCAATACCCCATTCGGTATGAGGGTGAAACGGGTCGTCCCTATACCCCGTCTGGTATGGGCGCCAAAACACATAAGGTCTCCATACCCCGTCCGATATGAGAGACCACATTCCCGGTAGGGTTCCCTACGGACCCGGTCCGTCCACCATCTCCCAGGATATCTAGTCAGGCTATCCACATTATTCATTTATCAATTCACATAACTTTTTTCCCATTTTTCTTGGTCTCAATTATCCAATCATACACAAACACGTAAACTAATAATGAACACCAAACAAACAACACAACATCGGGCTCACCATAATTCAAACCATAATAAAAGAAACTATGATTCATGCATACGAAACCATAAAATAAATACATTAAATACCATACTGCATTTAAAGTTGAAAAATAGATCAAACAACAACTGACCGAAAAATACATCAGATTCGGGCTCCATTAGCAATCTTAATTAATTATACATATCTATTAATCCATAAAATAACGTTTATCATTTATTAAACTTTAATACCATGATAGGAAACAGGGTGAGAGATCCTTACTTGTTTCACGGTTTGAAATCGGCTCTACAGTGCTTACGGGCTGTCCCTAAATTCATTGAATTTTTTCTCGAGAAACTGAAACGCACTACCGGTACCTGCACGTATCCCAAAAAACTCCAAATCAGATCCAGGGTCCTTTTTTGGCCAATATCGAAATTCTGGCACAGTGGCTCCACCGTGGCACTGCCCGTCCGCGGCATTGGTTCCTGCGATAAAACAACCCTAGGGCCCTCGGTGAGCTAAAAAATCACGAAAAACTGAGACTTACCAGCGGCGAAGCTCTCGGGTGCGGCGGCTTCTCCGGCGCGAGTCGCGGTTTGATGTTTTGCTCCTGTCAACCTGTAGAGAAAATGACGGTGATCACAGTGGTGTAAAAATTGCATCAAACGGGAAACGGAAAGGGCCTCATCGGAGGCAAAAATCGAAGGAAGCCGCGGCAGCGCCGCTGGACTTCGGTGGTGTTTTTCGGCCGATTGGCCAATGGTTTGGCTCCGATTTGACCATAGGCAGATTCAGCTTCGAAAAACGGGCCAAGGAGAGAAAATTTACCTCGTTTGGCGGTCAAAAAACCCTCCGGTGCGGTGGCGGGTGGCGGCGGTCGGCTCCTCCGGCAACTGATTCTTCTTTTCCGGTGAGGGCACTGGCGGCTAGGGTTTGGGGTCGGGTGTGGGTGAGGTTATTTATAACCTTCTCTTTTTAATCTCAGCCGTCCATCACGGTTTAATCTGGGCTGTCTGATCGCGATTAAAATAAAAATAAATTTGGGCCGTCCATCGCGATTTGATCTGGGTCGTCCGTGCGTGATTCAATTTGGGTTGTTCGATCGCGTACACGCGGATCGCTCACGTGGCTCCATCTGCGTGGTCTCCCACGTTAGCTTTCTTGCCACGCGGCGTGTTCTGGTTGGCCGGGACTGCTGACTGGGATGCTGATGTGGCACAATTTTCGTAAATTGCGTTTTGACACCTGATTTTCGATTTTCTTTTCAAAAACACCCCTAGAATCCAAATTTTCACCCATTTTTTTCAAAAACAATTTCAATTAAATTCCAAAAAAAAGTTTACCCTATTTTATCATTATTATTATTTTTATTTTCATTAAATTAAATTAAATTAAATTAAAATCTTATAAATTAAATATTAAAAAATTAAACTAAAATTCTAATATAAATTAAAATAAATTAAAAAAATAAAAGTAATAAATTTGGGTGTTACATGGCATTTGATTGATGCTTCAATGTGGGGAAAAAGAAAATCAAACCATCTTTTTTAAAAAAAAACTTGGTGATTATAATAATCATAAATTTCTTAAATATTAATGCTCCAATTTCCAAAAAGAAAAATTCAATGTCCAAAATTTGTGCATGGTAATGTAAAGAACAACATGTTTATTAGGTACTTGAAAAACATTATTGAAGAGAAATATGCATCATTGTCCTAATCTTTGAAATTCTTATTTTTTTTGTCTTTTTAAAATTAATAATATACAGATAAAATGTAAATAATAAAAGTATTTATAATACATTTTACGGAAAAAAAAAAAAAAGAAAAACAAATTTTTATTTACTCAAAGCACTCCAGTGGTTTATGCAATGTTTGGTAAAAGCCTTTTGAGTTGCTTTTTTTTCAAAGCAAAACTGTGCTTATAAACAAACTTTTATGTAATGAAATATTTGTTTATTGCCTGCCTTCTTCAAAAGGTTCAATTGGACATAATTTGCTTTTAAAGAGAAGTAAACAAAAATCATTAATGAGCTTTAATTAATTACTAAATATATAACATTAATATAGAATACATAAAATAAATATATTTATTTTAACTTCTAAAATGCTTATGACGAAAAACAAATAAAAACATAATTATATTAATATAATATTTATTCATTTATTATTACCAAATACAAATATTTTAATAATATCTAATTAAAGTATTTTACTAAACACTGATTATTTTTTATTACAACAATTTAGAAAGAGACTACCATCAGTTTGTTATCATCACATCTAAACTATGAAAATCTACAATTGAACACTACCGGCCTCCAGAGAATAAACAAAATCTGAAATTGCAGCACGTGCAAACACGAAACTTCATAACCAGTAAATATAAAACTTCATAACCAGTAAATATAAAACATGCTAGAGCTACACCTTCAAGCAACATGCTCGCTTTTAAACACTTCTTTTTTCAAGTCCTGCTATCAAGTTATCAATTTTCACCAAATCAGGAGGGTTTTTGAGTACTAAGACATGGTTCATCTGTCTTAAAATAAGGCAGAAATATCACTCGAAATGATTTGAACTCTTCTCAGTGTTGCTCTCAAGTTCTTTCTTCAGCTCCATAGAAAAGTCATCATTGACATCATCATCATCCCAATCATCTTCCCATTGCTGTGTTGTTTCTTTTCCTTCTTCCTTGTCATCCCACTCTGTCAATATAGAAAGAGTGACCAAATTAAGTAATACTAACAAAAAGCTCCTTCTGTATTTCTTTATATTGAACTACATTGAGTGTAACATCATCTACTACAGGTATCAGAACAGGCATTTTTCAACATGTAAAATATCCTAGCACAATGGTAGTCACAATTATTGAGAGAATACCTGACATTGCAATTTTATTCATAGGAGATCCTAACATTCACCATCTTAAGGATAGTCTTACCTGTATCATCCATTTTCTCATAAAGAGAATAATTTCTCAAATGTGAAGAGTAGCATATTGATTCATTTGATACCATAAAAAAGTTTTAAACATTTCATCTCCTCCCCCATCAGAACTTAGCACTTGAAGAGAGTTATGTTTTATTTTAACTGCTTTATTGCCTTTGTAATATCATTTTTGTTGGACCATCTAAGCCATCTGGTAAGTTGTATTCTCATATCAATGCAAATGCTTTCCTACAGTATTATTAGTACAAGAGTCTTTTAACTTTTTTAAGTTTTTACAGTTTTAAGAGATATTATTGATTAGGAGACTAGTTATATTTAGATCTTTTATTGCTTTTAGGATTCTGTTTCATTTTTGGTTGGGGTTACCTTTCTAGCACTAGAATTGCTCTATTTACGACTATAATCTATAAAAAAGGAAAGCATTAGCCTTGTTTATTTGCTTTTCCAGATTTATTTATTCTCTTTTTTACACCTGGTTGCAATAATATATGAATCAAGCCCTACCTTGATTATTCTAGTTGCCTAATGCCTATTTTCTCTTTCAAATATTTCTCGGAACTTACCCTGCATCACCCTCCCTCCTCGGCCACCTGCCTGGAACTTATAAAACCACCAACTATGAAAACAAGAGAAAATGATGATAAATCCTATGACATACATAGTGAAATAGGTTTAGAAGGATAGGATAAAAGAGAAGAAAATCCAATCCACAATCACAGCTTGACAACAACCAAATTACAGGTCATTATTAGGCACTCAATTCAATGAGAATATCAGTAATTTTTTAGGTACTATCTAAAAATGCGTTTATACTTTGCATTTATATGAAATTGCAGTCTAACACTTCTAATTGTATAAATCTCAAATTGTCCAAATATACAAATTACACCCTTTTAAAACCATTTCTCTTAAATTAAGCGCAGCCCTATTCTCTTTTCCCTTTTTTTTGTGTGTTAAAATCAAAATGCGTCAAGGCCATGGGAGAGAAGAAAGAGAGATGAATGATTCTAGGTAATTTGGCCAGCAACAGAAAACATAACAGTGAGTTACAGTTTGAGGCAGCAACCCAACAAAACCACAGGCTGTTATCACTTGGATTGAATTAGATGGTCCCCTTTTCATCCTCGAAAAACCCTCTCTTTAGTTACATCTTTCCCCAGCCATTTTTCAGTTTCAAAGCACATTGCCAGGCAACTATCTGACCTGTACCCAAACCAGAAGGAATCAAATTAAACTTTGTTTGACCTTGTTGGTCTCCATCGAGGGTTGACGAGACTTGGGATTTGGTAATACGATGATTTCCATGAGAAAGAAGCAGAGTAATACATCACATCAGCCTTGGAATGACTCACAGCCACATTCAAAGTTCCATATGGTTTCCTCATTGCTATCTACTCTCTGTCCGAAAAAGGAAAGCTACTTTAGAAGTATGCAGTTCGGCTTTACTTAGTAACATTTCTGAAGCTAAATCTTCCCAGAATATGATCTGTTCTGAAGATGGGGTTATTTCTAGAATCCGACGAGGCTTCCAACAACTGTTCTTTCTGAGCCAGTAATGAATAAAGGCATGGTGGTATTGATTCCAAAAGGTTCAACAACTTGCTCAAACAAATTGGAAAGACTCAAGCAACTTGGAGAATCTGGGAAATGAAAACAAAGCTAAAAAGGTTAAGCTCAAGGTTAGGAATCTGGGTAGTAGCATGCAAGATGTTCCTTTGAAGGATTTTAGTAGAAGTGGCTTCAATGATGTAAAAATAGATTCCTAGAGGAACAGGATAGCTGATGAGAATATCCTAACAAAACAAAAAGATAGCTATTAGCCAATCCCTAAGAGCAAGCAACTCCTAAAGTCAGTTAGCAGTAAATGTAGACCTTGATGATGGCATTTATGATGATGGTGAAGATGATGCGGGGGCCTAACAAGATTTGGTACCTTGAGAAGGTCAAACATGTTATGTCTTTGCTGCTACTTTCCATGAGAATGAAAGAAGCAGAAAACATCTAAATATATCTAAGGTATTGAAGCAGAATATTGATAGCTTGTATGAGGTCATCAAGTTTATGCAACGAGGGTAAAAGGGATAGATCAGAAGAGTATCAAACAATACTGATTATGTGGAAGAAGATTAAGAAGGGGAAAAGCAGTTCTAGCTGGAAAGTGGGTGGATGAAATTAAGAAAGACACCAAAAGGAAAATAGGGCTGTTGTTAACTCTAATAGAAATGGTTAATAGAGTGTAATCTGAATCTTCCCACAATATAACCAGGGCCAAAGATGGGGAGGTGGGGGGTATTTAGCCTATTTATGAGCTATCAGAATAAGCTTATTACTTATTAAGGATTTTGCTTCTATAGTTAGAAGTTTTATTTTATTCTGTTTTCTTATTTATGTATTCCAATCATCTTTTTTAGATAAATTTATGTATTCTAATCATTCTAGGTTATCCGGACACATTAAAAATAAATGAGTGATTAATCATTATTGAACATACTGCTTAAAAATAAAAAATACTAATATTCAGTCACTAGATTTATTGCTTAATAACCCTCCAGTTTTAGCTAACATTCTTGTGATTGTTGTTGCTGCCAATCCCCATGATTGTGGATTGGTTTTCTATCCCTTTTTGTACTCTTCTAGACCTATCCTGCTATGCTACATATACCTGTGCACCTGAGGCCAACTTATCACAGCTTAAAACCTTTAAATGAAGGTGCCGAGCTAAACCATGTATTGGAATAAAATCAAGAACCCATTGCACTATATAGCAGTGGCATCAACACAGGAACCTGTTAAAACAGTTGCATTTTGCATGGCCATCACATATTGAAATCCTATATCAGACCATCCTACTCTAACTGAAAATTTCTATCATCATCTCAATCAGACACTGGACTGTTTTGTGATTTACAAAGATTCATAAAGTCACCTCAAAATGAAACAATAACCCAATGTCTATGGAAATATATATATTTAGATAATGGCTAACTCACTTTTTTTTTTTTGAAATATCAGATAATTGCACACTCACTATCAAGACCTTGTGCTTAGTTTACATGAATTCCTTCAAAAAAATACGCATCAAACTAGCCAACTTAAGAGTAAGAAGGGGAGAAAAAAAAAAAAAACCAGAATTGTAGCTAATCACGAAACAAATCATTCACATGAGGAACATGGGTAAAACCAACATATAATCGAATAAATTAATCCACTACACCATTTATATGCCTAAGAACTAAGTTACCTTCATTGATTTCGAACTCTTCAAACTCATCATCGTCCTCAAACAAATCAATTTTGGGATCCTCAGTCGCTGCCTTGGGTTCCTTCTCCATTGCTATCTAAAACTTGCCAGACCTGCAAATCTCACTTCCAAATTAATTAAGCAAAACAAGCCCAAATACGAGTGACATTCCATTCTGAAAGCAAATTGAGAATTTTTTTTTTTTAAAAGCTGAACTTAACAAACTTGCTAGGCAAAAATGGCTTCCATTAAAAAAAAAAAGGAAAAACTGTGTTGAAATGGCTGAAAAATAAAACCCTAACTCTCGAATTCTTCTGCAACACCGCTTTATTTTAAACCAGCAGCATAGACTCAAACACAGAGAACCCCGTGTACAAAACCACACAACTCATGAAATATTTGTGTGTGCGTGTGTGTGTGTGTGTGAGAGAGAGAGAGAGAGAGAGAGAGAGAGAGAGATTTACAATTCCAAGAGAATGAAAGCTGCAGAGACTAGGATCAGTGAAGAGGTCTCTTGCTGATGCTCGTAAAAATTGCTTCGTGGAGTTTGGTAGTATACGGTGTCGAATTGTGATCTGGAATATTGGGTTTGGGGCTAATGATTATGGGCTGGGTTCGATTTCTCTGTGCCTGGCTTTGTCATGTCTAAATTTTTCCAAAATATACTGGGTAAGTTATTAAATTAATTTTTAATTTTTTATCATTATTTAATTTTTAATATTTTATTACAATTTCATTTTTTGATTTTTTAATTTTTAAATGATTAATTTTTTTTATTTTTATTTTCATTAGAAAAATTAAAATAATTAAATTATTTGAATATTTTAAAAAATAAGTTAAAAATAATTTTAATTAATTAATTAAATTAATAAATAATTAATAATAAAAAAATATTTTTAATATTATTATTAATTTAATTAATTAATTAAAATTATTTTTAAAATATTCAAATAATTTAATTATTTTACATTTTTTATTAAAAAAATTTAAAAAAATTAAACATTTAAAACAAATAAAGAACGTTAGCTATCAAGTAATAACAAAAAGACTATTTATAAATAAACTATAATAAGTATCAAACATTAAAGATAGTTTATTAATTTACTCAAATATACATATATGTATAACGGTCCCAAAAATTTAAATGAAATATATGTACTAAAAATCTCAAATACGGAAGCGTAATAAAAATTTTGATTAAAATCTTTTACACAATAACCAAAACGTACTCAAAACATGAAAGAACAAACTAACTAAAAGAGATACTCGAAATAAGAACTATAAATATAACTATGA